ATTATATAGTCCTCTTAATCCTGTGAGGTAGATGCTATTACTTTTCATTTCTTGAACTACTAGTAGGTTTAAACATATTTTTATAAACTTCATTCAGATTTACAAATATATTTTTTGAGAGTTAAGATGGTGTGAGGGAAGACTCTCCTTTGGTCAAGGAGTCCGAGGAGTCATTACATATATACAACCACTCTAAATAAATACTGACCTCAAGAATACAGAAGTAATATAAATTTAGGAGTCAAAATTTCATATAAATATTCCCAGATTTATGTTCAATTTTATGCCTTTGACTTTTAGATAGAGGTATACTATATTTTATTTCCTGAGGCCTAAACTCATCCTGGAAGCTGGTTATATACAGTAAAATTTTATCTGTATGTGAGAATGATAGATGTAGCATGAAATTTCCACAGTTTCTGGCCTTTTTTTTTTTTTTGTCAATTGCCTACTTATCCCCCTTATTTTTCTAATTGTGTTGTTCATTTTCTTAGGAATTTTAAATGATTCTTAAATGTATCTTGATGGTACATCCATGATTTTAATGCTTTGATATTTATCTAGCTGATACCTTTCTCAGTTGTTCTCTATTTACATTTTAATGAACTAACATCCATCTTTCTATTTGGGAATGTTCATCTTATTTGTGCATCATTTTTATTTTTCTCTTATAATGGCTCTCATGCACCATTATTATAATTTGAATTTTTGGAATTATAGAACAGATCTATCAAGTGAAGACTGACATAAAAGTGAAAGAATAAGAGTAAAGTAAAAACAGCATGTCTCCTCAATAATATCTCTACGGACAACAAAATAATCTTTGGCCTATTGCATGATCATTCTTCTTAAGTGTACATAAAAATGTATTTTTAAACGTGTTAGTTTTTATCAAAATCAGAGTGTAGAATTAGAGTATTTTCCCCTAAAATTTCAAGCACAATGTACAGAAACTGAAAACAACCCCAAAGACATCTGAGATAAGCAAGAGGCTTAAAGTCTGTATCCTAAAATTACCCATACTTTTCAAGTGAAGACAATATCTCTGTAGACAAAACAGAAAAGTAAATCAGTATTCAAAAAGAATATCTGCAGCAGAACTTTAGTAAAATAAATAATTTAGTGATAATTTATTTTTCACATTGCTTGTAAAGAAATAGATGATTCTGTCAATACACTTTAACAATTCCAATGCCTTCAAGAAATTTAATGAGTTAAATTATATCACCACTTTCAAGATTAAACAAGTTAAAACTCTTTGAGGGCTAGATGAATAGGCTAAAATTTCAAAGTTCAAAAAGTCACAAGCTATAAGAACTTATGAGAAAATGAATACATCTTTTAGTACCACTGAGGAGAAGAATTTCCTTTCCTATTCATGGTCCTTCTGGCTGGACTAAGAATTAAATTGTCCTGAGACAGATTAATAAAAGAAAATCAAACTTGATTTTGTATGTATGGGGAATCCAAACAGAAATAGAAATTCCAAAGACAGGCAAAATAAGGTATATATATCATTCTGAACTAGGGAGGAGGGGACAGAGATCTGGAACTCAAAGAGAAGGAGTGCAATTCACAGGAAGATCAAAAAGTAAATGTTTAATAAATGTTTGCTGGGCCTTTCAGAAACAAGGGGACATAGAAGACTTTGATCAAACAGACCCTGCTAGGTTCCTCCCTGTCTATCAAAACTAGTTCATAGGATAATGTAGTAATCTATGGCAATAACTCTCTTCCTGGAGCAGTCCTCTATCTAAATTCTTTATAGATACCTCACAGTTGCAGGGAGATAAAGAGCTTTTCCTGAATCTGCTGGGGGTTGATTGTTTTTGAACTCAAACTAGTCTTCTGCCAAAGTGTCCCATCTTGGGACAGCCTGCCCAAGGCCTCTGATATAGACTCTGTGATTTTAAGACATAAAATGTTAAACAGTGGTTAAATAATCCTCAAATATAACATGCCCCTTTAAATTTTTTGAAAAATGTATTTTAGAATGTAATACATTTGAAATGTTTCTTGTATGGAGTACATGATGTGGACCAATTCACTGAAAGACTGAATATTTTGCAAAACATTCTCAGCAAACCCAACCTTCTTTCTACACAAAACAAGCTACCTGGCTTTATGGGCCCTTTCTCTGTACTTCCATTTTAGTCACTTGAGTTTAAAAACTAGCTCTACCATATACTGGCTGGTGACTTTAGACCAATTACGTGACCTCTTTTTCTGAGTTTTCCATCTGTAAAACAGATGATCATAGTGTCTGTTTCTTAAAGCATTTATGATTTAAATGAATTGATATTTTCCAAGCATTTAAAATAGCCCCAGATAGTTCTGGAAACACTAGTGACAAATATACAATATACACTAGTGACAATTATACTGTGAATGTAACTGCCACTGAATTTTACACTAAAAATGGTTAAAATGGTAAATTTTATGGTAATGTGTATTTTACCACAATAAAAAAAATTTAAAAATAAAATAAAATAGTGCCTGTCACAAAGTAAGAATTTTTTAAATAAACTAAAAGTAGCATTTACTGGGGCACCTAGGTGGCTTAGTTGATTGAGCATCTGATATCAGCTGGAGTCGTGATCTCCGGGTCCTGAGATGGAGCCAGCATCAGGCTCCAAACTCAATGGGGAATCTACTTCTTCATCTCCCTCTCCCTTTGCCCCTTACCCTGCTCATGTTCTCTCTCTCTTTCTTTCTAAAATAAGTAAAATCTCTTTTAAAAATAGCATTTACTATTCTGCATCATAATTATTAGTTTATTTGTATCACCCATAACTAAAAGCTTCATATGGATAGACTACATATTTAATTTGTTCAGCATTTGTAACTCTAACACCTATCAGGGACTCAGACATATAGGAGGTCCTAAAGAAATACCTATGACTGAGTGTGGTGTCCAGCAATAGGTTGCCTAAGAGACAGTAACTTCCTTCTTGGTATAATTATTTAAGGAGAAGTATAATGATCTCCTATTAGTGATGTATCAGAGCATCTGACCAATACATAGGACGAGTAAAATTGTCTAAAATTTCTTCCTAATCTAAGATTGCATTATACTATTTATCTTGTGCCTTGGTACAGCAATTTTCATAATCTAACAACAGTACCAACATAATAAAGGAATTCCATCTTTCACCACATGCCACCTCCATCCCTATAATATGCTCTGCTGGTACTAAAACACTTGTAGTCTTTTCAGATCTCCTGGTATATTTACATGCTCTTTTCCCTTTGCTTAGAATGTGCTCTGTCACGTGTATGCTTCACATTCTTGAAGTCACGTTCTCTAGAAAGGCTTCCATGGTCCTCAAAAAGGGTGTTAATTGTCCCATACATGCTGCAACAGCATTTTGGTTTTGTTTTTATCACATGTTATAAGAGTTACCAATTTGCTAGTTCTCTAAACTATAGGCTATTTGGCAGCAGAGTCTGGGTCTTTCTCAATTATCTAACACATTGCCTGGTAATAAACACTTATTAGAAGTATAACAGCATGAATGAAACCATCTTGTGAGGTCTACTGCTTTCAATTATATACATCATCATTTTTTAGAAGATTATTTATTTTAGAGAGAAAGAGAGACAGAGCAAGACGACGACAGGAGGGGGAGAGGGAGAGGAAGAGAATCTCAAGCTGACTCCCTACTGAGAGGGGAGCCCAAGTTGAGACTTGATCTCACCACCCCAGATTATGACCTGAGCAGAAACCAAGAGTCAGAGGCTTAACCCACTGACCCACCCAGGTGCCCCTGTACATTGTAATTTTTTAAAGCACATTTTTAAATATATTTTGATCAGCCAGATGCCAATGCTTTCTTTGTGGCAAAATTCTGTCCCAGTGTCCGTGATTTCAAGTACCTCTTTAATGCTATGGAGCACAGTTTGTTATATGCAAATGTGTATCCCAAGCCAAATATGTGCTTTTATTTTGTGCCTAGAACTTATACTCCTCAAAGCAAGTTTTCTTTAGCAAAATGTTTGAAGGCAAAGAGACCAAGCCAAAATCTAAGACACTAGCCATTTTGTCTGAAAGAAATGAAAACAAAAAATGAGTTCTTACCAATTGTGAACAAGACATTTGTCAGAGATGATTAACTCTGATATTATAGGCTGTCTATACAGATCAGCTGAGATGAAATGAAAATACTTTAACCTTACGAGAACTTGATGTTCCCTACTCTACCCCCTACAAGCTAAGCTTTCCAGTCTTCCATTTATTCTGTAGTTCCTCACAAAAGATTATTAAAACACTAACAGAAAAATCTCAGTGAGGAAATCCGAATTAAAGAAGAAGTGCCTTTGTCCATGAGGATAAGAAAGGGTGCATCCCGCACTAAATTTTCAACTCAAGAGGCAAGAATGGAATTAAAAGATCTACTGAATTTTCAACAGTATCAAAGAAGAATGTTCATTTCCCCTTGCATAATTAGAAAGTTCCTCAAACATGTTCATTCTTCAGCAACTGGCATTCAGTACAGATGGCTCATTAATAAACGATGACACATCATGTGGTATCAGAAATCAACTCTGGATAATATTTAGTTTTTGTTTTTATTTTTTTTTTAAGATTTTATTTTTTTATTTGACAGAGAGAGATCACAAGGAGGCAGAGGGGCAGGCAAAGAGAGAGAGAGAGGAGGAAGCAGGCTCCCCGCTGAGCAGAGGGCCCAATGCGGGGCTCGATGTAGGACTCAATCCCAGGACACTGGGATCATGACCCAAGCCAAAGGCAGAGGCTTTAACCCACTAGGCCACCCAGGCACCCCATATTTAATTAGCTTAGTTTAGTGAAAAGCCTGTACTCCTTTAACTCAAGCCTTTCTTCGATTAGTTCTGCAGATTGCTATGACTTTCTGCCCCCAAACCTAGGACTTCCGTTCCCGCTTCTCCCTAAGCTCCTCCGAAAGCAGGCCCAGCTTACGTGGGACGGGGTGTGGCTTGGTAGGGGTGGGCTGGCGCATGCGCACTGGCCTGCCTGCGACGGGTGGACCATGGAGGATCCAAGGCCCTTTGCGCGGGAATGGTGCGCCCAATCACTTCCCCTGATGCGAGGAGGCGTTTTGAGGCTGTGGCTACTACTGCTGGATTTCGGTTTGAACGCGACACTTCCTCATGAAGAGGATGTACACTTTATCAATGAGTATGTGAACCTCCACAATGAGCTCCGGGGCAACGTCCTCCCCCGAGGGTCTAACTTGCGCTTCATGGTGAGGCTCTAAGGCGGTTGCCCAAACCAACAACCTCCTTGTCACAATGCCACCCCTCAGCCTCAGAACCCGGGCACTGCTTCACTGAGGTTGACGGATCGCAGGGAACAGCACTTTTAGTTTGGGTTTAAAAAAAATACCCTCAGATAAAAAAATGTCACTGTGACACACGGTTATTGCCAAGATTTTGCACAGTACTGGGATTTGTAGAAGTACTCAGCTGAGGGATTGTCTCAGTCACCTCATCCCAGCTCTGGCCTTGATTTTGCATTCCCTTACAATGTTATTCTTCCTTTTTCTTCCATTTTCCCCTCTTATTTCCATTTTGTACCTCATCAACTGTTCTCTTGCTACTAGTCTTTGTGACTGTCATTTAAATAAATATTCTCTTACCAGGCAATTAGGAGCTTCCAATTTATATTATTAAATGATATTACAAGGACTGTTTCCATAGACATAAGTTTTTTCTTCCTTCTGGGTTAGTTCCTTAGACAAATTCGAGAAATAGGATAAATAAATTAAGGGTATGATATTTTAAATTTATATGATATATAGCAATTGCTCTTCTAAAGGACTATGCCAAATTAAGCGAATACTAACAGTGTATTATAAGGTATTTTCCCATAACACAGTCATGGGAAGCAATGACTAAATGCTTACAAACTTGGACTTGAGAGTTAGACTTCTTGGATTCAAATCCAGGCTCCACAGTTTACTGACTCTAAGTAGCTATAAGTAAACCACTTAACTTTTTTTGTGTTTTAGTTACTTCCTTTGTGAGATAAAAGCAATAATTATGCATAACTCATGGGATTATTGTGAACATTGAGTGAAATAATGCTTAGAAAACACTTAGAATAGGGACTAGTACATAGTAAGCATGTGATATATAAACAATATGCAAAACGAAGAAATAGAAGGATAGTCCTTGGAGCATTGTTTGCAGATGGAAAGCTGTCTAAAAGGCCATTAATAGGGGGATGGTAACAGGTATTATAAAATATCCATATTGGGGAATAATACTGTGCTGACTTTGTTAAACTTGTATAGATCTAGTTATGCTAAAATGGAACAATCTCTCTTAAGTGAAAACTGTGAAGTTGAAGGCCAGTTATATTGTGTATGGCATGATTACAATTGTATAGAAAAAAAATCACCCAATACCTACCTACAACATCCCCACTTATATTTTATATTTGAATATGTTTGTATATGTATATATACAGATATAGAGAAATGTATACATAAGCAATTTTTTTAACAATTTTTACCTTTGGGGAGGAAAGTGTGAGGGATATTCTAAAGAAATATTTATTTTCTATATTGTCTATATGTATAATCTATGAAATTAAGAAAACTCAAAGGAAATCTTGGTATTGGTTTTTAGAAACGTTTATTTTCAGATATATTGTAGCATGTACAAAGCATTTTGATTTTACAACTTTTTTGTTGATTTATCTAAATGTACAGTGAATTTAATGAGTCTCAAAATAGTGATAAAATTACACATTTCTGAATATTTCTAGATAGGTAGCAGGGGAACAGTATCTTGTGATATTTTCTTACATTTCTGAGACTATCCACAAAACTTTACATGTGCCACTTTTACAAAATTCAGCAAGTAAACTATGTGTTAAATTTTTTTTAATTTGATTTTTTATAAACATATAATATATTTTTATTCCCAGGGGTACAGGTCTGTGAATCTCCAGATTTACACACTTCACAGCACTCACCATAGCACATACCCTCCCCAATGTCCATAACCCTACCCCCCAACCCCCCTCACCCCAGCAACCCTCAGTTTGTTTTGTGAGATTAAGAGTCACTTATGGTTTGTCTCCTTCCCGATCCCATCTTGTTTCATTTACTCTTCTCCTACCCCCTTAACCCCCCCATGTTGCATCTCCACTTCCTCATATCAGGGAGATCATATGATAGTTGTCTTCCTCCAACTGACTTATTTCGCTAAGCATGATACCCTCTAGTTCCATCCACGTTGTCACAAATGGCAAGATTTCATTTCTTTTGATGGCTGCATAGTATTCCATTGTGTATATATACCACATCTTCTTTAGCCATTCATCTGTTGATGGACATCTAGGTTCTTTCCACAGTTTGGCTATTGTAGACATTGCTGCTATAAACATTCGGGTGCATGTGCCCATTCGGATCACTACATTTGTATCTTTAGGGTAAATACCCAGTAAGGCAGTTGCTGGGTCATAGGGTAGTTCTATTTTCAACATTTTGAGGAACCTCCATGCTGTTTTCCAGAGTGGTTGCACCAGCTTGCATTCCCACCAACAGTGTAGGAGGGTTCCCCTTTCTCCGCATCCTCGCCAGCATCTGTCATTTCC